GGCGTGACCATTAGAAAGCGTGGATCACTTGTTCGGAGTAACTGCTCTCGAACTCGGGCTCGGCGAGTCGGCGCCATTCGCGTACTGAAGCTACATGTATCCACAATCTCCCAGGGAGGTAACAAAGTCGAACCATTAACTACCACGCTGGAAGAGAGCCTGGAAAGATGACGGGGGAATGCACCGTTGTGAGCGCACCGCAAGGTTTGAGAGGTCGAATACGATAAGGTTACGTGTATTGTTCGCCGGGTTCCTGATGAATTTACGGATCTCTTGGACCTCGTCGTGATCCAGGAATATTGAGACACCGTCCCAAAACGTATCAAATGCTTCGCCGACACGTGGTATCGAGATGAAGGACGGCAAACTTGGCATCGAGAATGTGCTCCCCGATATACTTTGCGATGTTGTCCTTCTGTCCTTGGTTATAATATGCGAACTCGAAGTCTAGAGCCTGGTGCGCAGTGGCGCCAATAACCGGTTCGGGTGTCTCCTTCAAAAAGATGCTGCGAGAGGGAGGCGTTCGCTGTTGATGTTATCGTTGTGTGAGGTGGTGAGGTGGTGAAAGAAGGCAAAGGCGCTTGCCCCTTGGGTGAGGTCCTTGTAGTCGTCAAACTGCACCATTATAACAAAGAGGGTGCAATCCGCCGAAGGGACACGGCGCTTCGGGTAATCTGGAAAACATTGCAATTCGCCGACGTCGATGCTAGACAGAGAAGTTAATATACAGGTATCAGGAAGGACCCGAAGTAACGGGTCCGCGCCGGAGAGGATGGTGGCGAATAGTATGCCGGACTGCTCCAGGAGCCGGCAGAACTTGCTACATCGACGGGGTCAACTTCCAAAGTCGGCCTGACATAGGGTTGCAGAGTTGGGGACGGTCACGAGACAGACTGTATCGTGGTCCAGGATAATCGACGTGCGGTCGGTCCTGGCGGCCTCGAGGACGCGGTTCCTCACGTCCATCAGCAGCGGGCCGGAGGCGGAGGAGAAGTCGAAAGCGTGCGGCGTCATAGATGTTAACGGCATTGAACGGCATTCTGAAGGGAGGCTGCGGCGTTGTCCTGCTCCGTCTCTACCGTGTTGTTCCATCTGACAGAACCGTTCGGCCCCGATAAATGATATGTCAAGCATGTCTAACGCGTCGGATCTTCCACAATCTGCTGTAGGAGCCAACGAGAGTCTAGGGAGCCAACGTCGGCGTTTCCCCTGATCCAGCGTCTTCTTGTACTGCTTGCGAACCGTAGCAACCAGCTTAGCGAGTTGCTACGGAGAATTAGCTCATGGGTTCACCTAAGATGCGCTGATGACCGAGCATTTTTGATATCGACCATCATGGTGCCGAACCCCAGTTCACACTCCCCAAGGCCGATGCCCGCCCCTTTGCCAGTTTCTTGTCGGTAGCAGAGGCTCACTTGGTGAGCTTTTACTCGACCAACTAAACGGTGCGTTCCGGTATTTCAGTCGATGACGAGTGAGAAATCCGGACCGAATATCGTTTGCGTACTGTGGGTTTGAAGATCGAGTGTAAGACGATCTTGCGGAAATGCGAGCCGTTATCCATATATATATGGCCGGCATGGCCATCCAAAGACGGGTGCCCAGAACTTCAACCAGGTTGTAATATACGTAGGAAAAAGCAAACAAGCAGAACGTACCGTGTCGGGCAGCTGACGATTGAGCCACTTCCGACAGCTCTCCAGAAGTTCGGTAACGGCGTCGCGACACGAGGCGGTAGGGCGGGAGCAGATGTGGTTGTGGCGGGGCACCCTGGTAGCACCTCTCAAGCGTTCCCGCCTGTTCCCCAAGTTATACTTTGCTATGACAGGTCGATGATGCCCACCCAAGCCTTGTGTTTGATGAGTAGCTATCCTCTGGATGAACGGGATAAGCTCGTCTAGGACAGGAGGAAAGTGGTCAGATAAGTCCAAGATAAACTGCCGAGCTTTAAGCGCTGATGGGTGAAAAAGCAGGTGCGTCTCAGGGAAAAAAGTGAAAAAGAAAATCCTCAACTGGAGATTCTGCGTGCAGGCGGCTCTGGTCGCGACCAGCTGGAATGACGGGCGTAAAACTAAGCTGTGAGGATGGATGGGGGAATATATAAGAGCTCGTCTGGAGTAGCGACTGGAAAGGGAAAGACAACGAAGAAGTCTTGCTCGGGCTGCTTGGTATCCACGTTCAGGTGCCATTGAGACAGATCCTCAATAGCGGGCTCCGTATCAAACTTGTTAAGCCCGTCCAAGCGAATCTGCAGCGTGGTATCGCTGACTTTTGCTCAATATTGACCTTGAAACATTTCTTCGGGTCAATCTTCGCCGCCCTGGTGGCCAATTTCTCCTGCAAATCAATGAGGGGCATGTTTGGATAAGTAACCCGGGGCCGGTTGGGGAGAGCAGCCAGTTAGTCGTGCGGCTCGGTGGAATTGGGTCAGGAATAAGGAGGAGTACTCACGTTTGCCTTCCCTCTGCCAGCAGAGGGATTTCACGGTGGTTCTGAGCCGTGGCGAGGCGGAGAGAGGGTTTGTGTGCTTGTTGGAACGAGGAGAGTGTTCTTGGCCCTTCGGCCACTTTAAGTGCAATGGCAGTTCCGCAAAGAACGCTGGACCAGTTAGCCCTGCCAAAGCGGAGGGTACAGCAACAGGACTTCCTGCAGGCTCGGATGAGAGAGACAGGCGAGTTGTCTTAACCGATTGCGAGGGATGGCGGCGAGGGTGTGGCATTCAGCGCAGACGGACTGAGATGGAGTTGCTTAGGCCAAGACCGGCTTGTGTGCTGTCATGGATTTCGGAGCGTGGCAGCGGGCTGCGCGAATTGCGTTGAACGGTGGTATGCTGGGGGAGCTCTTGCTGCTGCTGTTCGACTAAGTCGACCAGAAGTGTCGTCCTCCCGCTCGCCCGTGTGTTGTTCTTGCCGGGAGCGGGCTGGGACTGCTAGTTCCGGTTGGCCTGGTTGCCATGGCTCTGGTTCTCGCCGTTGTTCTTGCCTTGGTTCTGGTTCTTCTGCTGCTGGCCGTTGTGCTGGCCGTAGTTGTTCTGCAGCTATTACGGTTATTGACGTAAAACCAGGTTTCTTGACGGAGGAGATAGATGTGTCGAGATCAAAGTATTCTTCTGTTACACTGGTTAGTGCTGGATGGAGAGGGGTCTCGAAGAAGGGAGTATGTACCATCGTCCAAGTCATAGTATTCTGGTACGTAGAAGACCGACTCTGGGGTAGGTGGATCGAGCCCTGGTGTGTGCTCGGCACGTCGGTGCACTCGACCAGTATCTTCGTTTAGGTGGAAGTGTGACCAAGTCGTCCTCAGTCGAGTACAGGTACCAATTCATTCATATGTTGGAACGTCCTGATCGACTCCACGGTGCCGTACTGCTACTCTGCCTGCGAGTGTATTGAATACAGCATGGGTTGAAGGATAGACGGGCAATATAAGGTAGGTAAGGTAAGGTCTGAGTACCTAGTAGTAAGGGTAGAGGTCTTGAAGTTTGTAGTCGTTTGGGAGAAAAGATGAGAGGGCTGGGTTCGGGAGAAGATGAGGGTATATATAGTCGGGCTGGGGGGGAGGCGGCTAGACGCTAGTCTAGTTCCAAAGCTGAAGCTCCTGGCGTTCAAAAGAGTACGGAGGAAGGTGCTTCCTCGTAAGCAAACGCTCCAAGCAAACGCCTCGACAGAGAGGAGAAGGAAGGTGAGGTGGTTGGTCAGGGGTATCTGGAAGAATAGAAACTTAGGGGGGGTTTGGGTATCGATGGGGGAATGAAAGGGAAGGTACAGCCAGCCGCTGCGCCCTCTCACGGGCCTCTGCAAGGGGCTGCTATTTGTTTCCAAGAACAGCGGCAGGCCATAGGTGGTTGAACCTCAGGACCTGGGGAGGTACGGGTAGATGAGTTGCCCCAGCCCGGCTGGCAGGTACGCCCGCAACCCAAGCCTGCCCTTCTCCGCGAGAGTCCAACGCAAAATCTATGCTCGTCGCGGGAATTGCGTCTTCCGGCCGATAGGTAACGGAGGTGGTCTGGGGCCAGCAAATGGCTACTTCCTTCGCCAAGCATCGGCGGTGGTGATGCTGCGTATGTGCCTGTGGATGACAGATGTACCGACACATCTTAAGGGTGGCTCCCGGCATAAATGGTGTAGGAAAGAAGTGGCGAAACCTGCATCAAGCACAAATTCACCCGTCAACAATGACTCGCTCCGTGTGATATCACTTGATGTACCGCTGCCCCTTTCTCGACAGTTCGCTGGTCCCCCTGATACCAGCTAGTCCAAACACCGTCCCGATGTAGGTCAGCACCGAACAACAGAGCGGTAACTGTTCCAACTTGAGGTACCAACCCGTTCTCCAATGCCACATCTTGATGTATCTCAACCAGAACAACCCAGCTAGCACAGTTGATATCCCTTCTCGCCCTCAACACCCACGGCCACCGCCCACTGCTCTCATCCCTCCCCTCTAGGTCTACCATTGCACTCGCATCCACCACAACAGAGACTGCCATCCATGCACTTGCACAGCTTTTGACCACCGCCATCTTCGGTTCCACAAAGGTGGCACACAGTCCTATGACGACTGTGTTGAGACAACCTAGCCACCGGTGGTCCACGCGCAGCAGTCGGTTTTATGCCGATGTTTGTGTTCATAAACTCCTCGGTTGTGGTTGGGAACTATAAGTCGAAACCTGAGAAGATGCAGTGATGAAGAGCAAGTGCGGAAGAGAGGAGGGAGGGTCGTGACCGGTAAGCAATGCGAGCGTGTGCCAACGTGGATCCTGTTCCCTGACTCGACTTCACGGCATCACCTTTTCATGGACTTGACATTGCGTTGGCTAGTCTTTCGTTTATGTGAATCTCACAATCCAGGATCACTGTACCGATACTCACAGATGCAAGCGATCCCGATAACCACCGCATCATAAGCTCCCGGATACCGGCCAACTGGCCAAGGCTTGCCACTACCGCCAAATAGCTACATGAGACTCCATAATGTTCGTACATTCATACAAAATAACCGCGCCAGTGGTTTAGTGGTAAAATCCATCGTTGCCATTCACACGACTCGATGGGCCCCCGGTTCGATTCGCGGCTGGCGCATTTCTTCTTTTGTCTCTTTTTGCCATATTCTTTTTTATGGCTTGTGTATTTTTTTTCTTTTTTTTTTTCGGTTGTTTGTTTTCGCAGATTGTTGATGAGATACCGTAGGTGGTCGTTACCGGGCTCGGTATCCCGCAAGGACTGCAATTGCTGGAGGTCGGGAAGTTGACGGGCAACAATCGCTTTTGAGACGCGAGGGCTGACATCGGATACCCCATGGTTCTCTTCCAACTGCCCTTTCTGAGGACACAGGTGTTTTCACATCAACAGTATATGTAGAACATTCATTGACTTTCATTTTAAAGACTACATCACTCATCATCCCACCCCCTCCGACTAATAATAATTGGCCTCGCCGGGTCCCACGGCCCGTAAATCTCATTCTTGTACTTCTGCAGCCCGATCAGCCACCAACTACATCCCCCCATGGCCAGCGCGCACACCAGACACCCCACAATCATGCCCGCCAGTCCCGTCTTCCACCCGCCGCCCATGACCATGCCCACCCCGCCGCCGGCACCCAGCACGAGCAGCACGGTGAGCACGACGTGGTACCGCCAGCTGCGCTGGCGCGCGTACCGCCTGAACACGGGGAAGAGGCCGAACACCTCGATGCTGAACAGGGTCAAGCTGAACACCTGGCCCGTGCTGGGCAGGCGGGAGGCGAGCACCGTGCTCGCCATCAGGGCGGCGTTGGTGGAGAGGCTCGCAACGGGGGCGGCTTTGCGCGGGTTGATGTCGGTGCTGTAGTCGAAGAAGAAGATGTTGATGGCTAGCAGCCAGAAGGACATGGCCCAGATGCTGTCGGAGGAGGTGGAGCGGGTCAAGGATTTGAGGATGGGGGAAAGGCCGAGGAGGGTGGAATAGATGAGCACGGCGGATTTGATGGTCGCTAGGCGGAGGTTGAGGCGGCTATTGCGTAGTGGGGAGGAAGGGCGGTGCTTGAGCGCGCTGTCCGGGCTGGCGCTGGCGCTGGCGGGTCCGCGGTTACTACTGGCACGACCGTGGCCGTTGGTGGAGGATTGGGAGACGAGGGAGGTGACGGATGTGGAGTGCCCGTGGCGCGGGAGGAGGAGGGAGCTGCTGTTGCCGCTTGTGCTGGAGAGGGAGACGGAGTGTCGTTGGGAGGGGGGCTGGAGAGTGTCTTGTGTGTGAGGTGCGGGTGGTGGTAGGAGGTTGGAGGTCGAGCTTGCGGCGGAGGGGAGGTTGGAGACGCTTGATATGCTCGTCGTGCTTATGTTGGGGTGGGCGTTGTTTGTGACCCCGCCGAGTCCGGAGTCCTGACGGCGTGGAGGGCCAAAGTCCCTGCTGTCTCTGAAGTTCCTTCCGCTCCTGCTTCTTGCCAGGCCTTCCTCTGGATCTTCTTCGCTCTGATCTCCCACCCACCAGTCCCAGAGTAGCCATCCTATGACGGTGGAGAAGCTGCCCGATCCGACGACGGTGTTGGGGCTCACCCGCTCGAGGAAGATGCCGGCGAAGCAGACGACGAAGCAGATAACGGAGCAGACGTGCTGTACTATGACGGTCGAGTCGGCCACGAGAGGCCAGAATTCGTAGGGTTGTACGCGCGGGTTGCGCTGTAGGTTTTCGAGGAAGGTCGCCTGGTCGGTGTAGTTGTCGGCATCTAAACAAACATGTTAGACTTGAACTGAGGCCAAGCGAGATGGCTCAGTAACATACAAGATTGCTTCACCCAAAGCAGCTTCTGGAACCGCTTCCGCCGGCGGCTCCTGCTCCGGCTGCCCCCATCATTGTGGCGGACGCGCCTCGGACGCAGCTCGTTGCCCGACCCATTGCTGCCGTAGTCAAAACCCAACGACTTCTGCGGCGGCGACGTGAATGCGTCCTCGGGGGCGAGATGTGACGGATCGGCTCGCCGGTGACTGCGGACGGTGCTCTCGCTGTTGTGGTGGGATGGAAGGCTGGGCACCGTGGACGACCGAACCAGCGGAGGCAGGGAGTCAGTGTCGGACTGGGTTGCCGAGTTCTGTAGCGCCGACGGAGGGGCCATTGATTAGGAGAAGCGTATCCTCCATGCGGTTACGAACTGGGCGGCCATCCGGTCGAAGAAAAGGGAAAAGTTGTTGAGTTTCGAGATGTTGAAGTGGTCGCGATGCAAGGTGCTGGGGAATAAATTGCGTACCCCTGTCCGCGATGCCCCACCACGAACCCTGCTTGCATAAAGTAGGTAAGGCAGTGCACAAGCGCAACCTCTTTACACAAATCTTCACTTCATCCCAACATCCTGAAGCACCGCACCGTTGAGTCGCCCTTGCTTTGCCGTGGACCCTGGTGGTATATCAAGAAGTTCAACGCCTTGTTCTTCCAGCGAAGTAGCTAAACCTAATATCAATGGATGATACAACAATCCCCTCTGGGGGATTGCCCCTACGGTGCTCTTGGCCGAGCATGTCTGTACCGGGATATCTTCGCTTCACACTCCCTTTTTGCATATCTCTCGACCGCCAGGGACTCCCTCCAGCTTCAGTGCACAGCTAGACTCACTGTTGAGCTCCGCCTGGTCTTTTTGCCATCTGTGTGGTCAAACGGAAAGTGCCAAGGCAACGAATGTTCAGGTTGCTCGTTCGAATGCTGCTGTTAAGCGTGCCTCTGCTTTTTCCGTTTGTTGTCCGCCATGTTGAGCCAGCCACAGCCTCCCGCATACAACGAAACCCTGGAATATCAACAACTTTAGCTTGTTGCACTTTCAGCGAAGTAGCTAAGAACTGATCACAGGAAAATATTCCATATGCCCTTCGGGGCTATGCCCTCGCTTAACAATATTTCTTTTTGCTTCTTTTGGCAACTTGTTTCTCAACTTATCATCAACAACTCCCTCCACAACCAGCTTCAGTTCGCGCCGGCCACCGTGTCGTTTTGCTTGTTTGTTCTGCCAGGTCTGTAGCCGAGCGTAAAATGGCAAACCAGTGAATCTCCAGTTCGCGTGTTCGATTCAGTATACAGCATGCACGATGCCATTTTGTTTGTTCGGCCAGAAGTGTCGAGTTGAGTCACGCAGCTGAACAAGGTCAGCCCAAACATGGTATATCAACAACTTCAACATGTTGTATTCTCAGCGAAGTAGCTAAAACTTAATATCTTTGGGATGATACATCAAACTCTTAACGAGTCTCCTTCGCCCTAACACCTTCTCTTTCTTGCTTTGCATGTTTTCACAACTTTACTATCACCAGCAGCTCCCTGTAGGAGGAGCCCGGCTTCCGTTCGCCCCGAGCCAATGTTAGAGATGCCATATCCTTTTGCCTGTTGCATGGTCAAGCGGGAAATGGCAGAGTAGTGGAATGTATGAAGTTACCATGTTCGACTCCCAAGCACAGCATGCAAGTGTGCTTTTTGGTTGGTTGGTTGTTGGCCGTGGCCTAGCCGAGTTGAGTCACACTTCTTCCCCTTGCTGTGTCTCCTCCACCAAGCGCCCCAGGCCAAACGCCGCATATCAATAACTTCATTACGTCCTCTCCTCAGCGGAGTAGCCAAGAACTACAAACTCATCTTTGGTTGATCAGATCCGCCCTCGTGGCGGCCTTCGCTTTCTGCCCTTCTGCTAAATCTTTTGCTTCCTTCGACTCGGCTGGCACTTACACGGTTCTCCGCCGTCATCATCCAGCACCAGACAACAACCCGCCCCTGAGATACCCTCAGGCATTTATGGGCGTTTTCTTCCACGGCCTGGTTGAGTGGTAACGACTTGCAGCATCATATGCGAAGTGACTGCGTTCGAATCCCGCAGGGCAACGCCCAGACGCTTTTGCCATAGCACTTGTGCCAGTACGACCCCTGTCCTCGCCGGGGTGACTCACACTCACCCCCGATCCTCCCTCTCCCGCACCACAACCAACACCACCATATCAACAGCTTTACCATCTCATACCCTCAGCGAAGTAGCAAAGCACACAATTCAACCCAAGCATTGAATGCCCTCCCCTCCACCAAGGGGCCCTTCGCTTTTGCATCTCGTTTTTGTTCGTCTCAGTCCCTGTTGTCGACCACTTACACACCTCTCCTGCTGTGTACTCCTTCCCACCGGACCAAGCTGGCGGACCAGTTGTCCTCTCGTGCACGGTGGAATTATCACTTGTCTGCTGCCTGTATGGTCGAACGGCAAGCATCCCGAGTGTCTTACACCGGAGTCCACCGTTCGATTCCCGCACGCGACATGATCCATGCCTTTCTGCATGGCTGAGAGAGTCTCCGTCGCAACCTCAATCAATCCCATCTCCCTATTCCATGATGCCATGCCATACCTCTCCCCGTCGGGAGGGTCTTGGTGTTTCATCACCTTTTCCACATCAGTTCCTCGGCGAAGTAGCAAGAACCAAACCAACTGGACTCGCGATTAGCATCCCGTTTCTGGCCGTTGAAGCCGTCCCCCATTCGGGGCCCCTTCACTTTGAAGATCTTTTTTTTGTCTAACACTCCGTAATGTCTTTATTTTTTCCCCTCTCGATCTGAAATGTGGACAGGAAGGACGCTCCCAGTGCTCGTAGGCTGTCCCATACCACCTTTTTTCTTTTTTGCCGCCCTTGGTTAACCGGGCAGGGCCAGGAGTTGACATATCCAGGTGGTTTGTTCAAGTTCACCGACTGGGCCCAACATGCAGACTTTCGGTTTTGTCGCTCTGCACTGCCCTGGACATGTGTCAACACCCACATAAACTTCGTCTGAACAACCTCCATCCGAGCTGCTCATCCCATCTTGGGTACCGGCCCCCCCCCCCCCACGAACCATCTGACCGGTACATGAAGTAGTTTTGCGAGCTGAACCCCCAGACACATGGACCTGCTAAATTCCATTACCAACTGCTGGACGGTTGGTCAGATGCCGCTGGTCGGTATCGAAGACCCTTCGCTATAACCTCTTTTTGGTCTTTACCAACTCCTGGATGGCCCATCACCGATGAACAGGTTCGGGCTTTGCCGGCTGGGTCTCGGGGACAGAGCTGTTAGAGCTCAGATGTCACTTGCTGTCCACTACTCGAGCTA